CGTGTTGACGTCAGTGTAGTGTCTCATCCCCAGTCTGTGGAGTTTCTGTTACTGGTGGAGTTTATTGCTGCTCTGTCTGAACAGTTAAAATCGCTGTTTTCTTCATCACAGTCACTAACTACCTGCTGTACATCAAAACTTACACTAGTTCTGCTCCAGCACCCAGCACCCTTTTAGCGACGTTCACTAATTCAGCCGTTGTTTATATGCAGTTTGGATGCTAGTTACTTTAGCTTAGCAGCTAGCGCTAGCTTCTCTCTCTCTCTCGCTTGCTGTGTCTTGAACCAACAGATGAATTTGTTCATCAGAGTGTGGTGTTGTTGTAACTTCAGTGTGGAGGATTGTGATGTTTATTACACCTTCAGTGATGTCTGCTGTCTTACCTTCGACACACAGCTCCACTTGCTAACCGGCGCTACCTTCGTCTGTGACCGTTTGTGTACACAGCGGCCTTCAGCGTGATAGGCTGTTATTCGTGACGTTTAACCAATCAGATGATGCTGTGGGCGGGACACTGCTCCAGATCACAGAGTGGGAACTACAGATCATAGACAGACGGCTCCATCAGAGCCAAAGTGGTGCATTTTAAAATTGATTTATTTTATTTATTATTGGTTTACTAAATAATGACACCATGCCCCTGCCCACATCGGAATGATCTAATGTGAGAGAAAGAGAGGATGATATGCAGCAAAGGGACGCAGGTTGGACCTGAACCCAGGCCGCTGCGGTCAGGAGTAAGCCTTCATGGTACGTGCTCAACCAGGTGAATTACCTAGGCGGCCCCTAATCACTTTTTTGTGTCTAAGTATTTGCAGCACGTGTTGTCAAATTGATGAAGATGTTTTCTGAATTTGTGTTTTGTCTATTTGCATGTGTGTTCTTAAGTTGCCATGTGTTGAGCTTTCTGGGCCACTGTACAAACCAGAACTGAAAGGAAAGTTGGGTCAGGTGACCAGGCACATGACTCCAAAGTCCAGATGGATTTATAGTCAACGCAAGCAGGTGAAGAGGAGTCATACTGTAGATATTGATTTATAATTGAGAGTTGGATTCTACCCATTCATAACTCCTACACAACACTAGTTGCATGGATTGTAAATTATCAGACTGTATTGAGCTTTATCTACGCCACAGTAAATGCATCAATATTCTTTGAGCTACAGTGATTTATTGAACTGAAGTGACATCCAGGTAATATATAACATTATTTCACTGTCTGGTTACTGTATAAGAGACCAACGCTGTACAGTCACTCTGTGCAGTGATCATGGTGAGCAGGTTTGCTGAGTAAGAAGGCTGCAGAATATTTTCTTTAACTTACTTAATGTTGCCTTCACTCAACAACTCGCCGCCATCATAAACATGTAGTTTATAGCATAACCACGGAGCCTACGCATGGAGCCAGCCAGAAATATTATATATTATCATTTGTTAACATGTTTACTAAATCATCTTTATAAGCTGATAGTATGTCAATGTTGTGTTAAAAAAACAATCGATGCCATTTAATGTAAAAACACAAGTTTATCACTTTATACACTTTAACATGACTCAGAAAAACTCAGTTTTAAGGAGTAGCTTAAAGTTTTACAGAGTAAATCTTCTACTGTTGTATTGTGGTGAAATGACACCTAACATATACAGTATGTCCTTAGATTGAAACTCAGGGCACTGCAAATTCGTTGGTTATGTCTATTAATAAATTATTTAGATTAAACTGCCGGGGTCTGCGCACCTGTCCTGTCTCAGTTCAGCAGTCAGTCTGGAGTGCTGTGCAGAGTGTGCATGCATGCTTGAGAGCAAAGCAGAGCTTTAATTCAGTCCCTCCTGCACGCACATCTGCACACACACACTGGCCCATATTTATCCTACAGCCCGGCATTAAGAGCAAGTCACATCACATCTAGACAACAGCCAAGTGAAGTGATGCTCTTAACGGTTACAAAATGAAGGCTGACAAAAAACAAGAGAAAAACGAAGATTGGAGCCTCATTAAAGTTTAAACATGACTGAACTTGCACAACGCATCATCTGAACAGCAACCAGTGTAATCACAAATATTACATCAGGAAGTCCTTCATTATTTCTAATGAAAGTCTTTGAAGTGTTCACTGTCACAATGTTTTTGATAACTAGTTTACCTGCAGCTAAGATGTCATGACAATTAAAGAATAAAATGATCACAGCTACAAATGTAATCCATGGAAACCAAACAAAAATAAACACACGTAGTTGGATATTCTTAAAATAAAGTCACCTCTTCACCAGGTGACCCACGTGTGAGACTCTGCTGAAGTTCTCAGCGACATAACTTTATGAATGCTCATTTATCCAGCAGCTAATCCTGTTTTCTGAACGTCTTTTACAACCTGCAGAGCAGAAATATGGATGAGGTGCCTCGCTCCAGGCCAGAGGAGTCCTTGATCCAGGATAAGAGACACGTCCTCATTCTGGGAGGAAACATGTTAACCCCTTCAAACCCTAAGGTTATGATACATGATACTAAAGGTCCTGAACTAAACCATATACTTTACCATGTGAAATAACAGCTGCATGTATTCCTGGGAAACTCTTCTTGGGACATACTTAACCTTGTTTCCTGATGAGATTGCCTGAAGAGACTAAATACTGGTTTAGTTTGTCTGCATTCACTCCTGTCACTCAGGAAAGGATGTGATTCGTAAACAAGACTGTGTTATTAGTGAACAATTTTACTGTCGAAGCGTCATTAAATCAAACCAAATCAAAGTTTTTGATCATACTTATTAGCCATTCAATGTACCTGTATTTATATTCTGTAACTCCGTACTCCTAACCCCATGACGCTGACTTCCAGTTATTCCCTTCACTATACCGGCTGCTGTGAGAGTTAGCCGTATGCTACAGGTGTCTTTTCTTTATACTGTCTACTTTATATTAAAAACATTGGACTGGTGACAAAGTAGCTGCTCAGCGAGTGTCAGCTGTAGTATTATCTGTTAGATGATGATAGATTCTGTTGGAGATTGCTCATTTTCTTTGTGTTATTTAAATTGAGTCAGCTGTTTTTGTTACGTGCATTATTATGTGTTATGTGAACTGGGATGAGTAGTGTGAATGTGTATGGTTATATTATTCATAAAAACTTTATAGACCTCAGGAAGAATAACTGCTGAAATGCAAAAGCTAATGGGGATCTTTATACAAACAATCCACACCTGCTGTTACCACCAGTGACCACAGGTGTCGCCACATCAGCCAGGACTGTAATCTTAATCTATTTATACTATGACTTTAAATGTGTGATAATATTACTTATGTTCTGCAGCAATAACAGGACTGCTGAGGGGTGAAAGGTCACCTCTACGTTCACATTTCAGCAAGTATGAATTCTTTAAGTTTTGGACAAGGTAAAGGTAAAAAGATGAGTCACAAATGAAGTGCACAGAACAAAAAGAGTGCGTAGGAATCTGCATAAAAACAGTATATTTTTATACCAGTAAAAAGGGAAAAAACAAAATATGTAATTTTATATTTTCATGTCTGTTACAAGCTCAAAAAACAAACAGATGATACTAAACAAGGAAGAGCCACACAGTAGACACACAAATCAAGGGGAAATTCCAGCACTGTATGCACTGTAAAAATACACTACAAATGATAAACTGACAAATGTGCCCCCATGCTCCAGTGAATCTCTAAGGGGGTGAATGGCATGGGAATGAGCTTTTAACAGAGACACTGGGGGAGGAAGAAAGGAGTCCCATTGCGAAAGAGTTGAATTACCATATCACTGAGGAGCAAGTACAAAGCTCCTTGAGAGCAGCGGGGGATCCGTCATCCAGTGAAGAGCGGTGTTGAAATGTGGATATTTCTGAGTACTCAGACACCACACACTGGTAATAAGCAGTGGGGGAGATCACACAGTTGTTTAAACCTCATACACCTCAGCCTGGGAATCCAGGCTTCAACGTGGAACAAAAACAGACCTGAATATGGAAAAACCTTTGGTCAATCCTTCAAGAATTATGAAGTCTGTAAACAAACTTATGAACATGAATCTGAGGCATATAAATTAGAGCAAACAATCTGAACAACAGAAGTTTTATATTAATGTTGAAGAGTTTAGAAGCCAATGTTTCCTCGAGCAAAGCTGTAGCCCAGTTTGTTCTGGTTCCCGAGGAAAGACATGAGGCCCACATAGGCCTCTATGTGGATCGGCTGATTCAGGACCAGGACGCCATTAGCCTTCCCAGGAACTGGCTTCATGACATGGACTTTCTGTGCTGCATCTTTGAGCTTCTCACGGAAGTTCTGGATCTGTGGACAAGAGGACAGGATGATCAGAAATATGTCAGAAAACAAGTTTATTTCCTGTTTCTCCATTTCTTGGCAGCTTGCTTTGGTTAGGGTGCAGCATATCCGAGGTCCTCTGAAGTTCAACTCTTGCAAAAGCTTATTTTAGGGCGGTGTGTTGTTTTGAGTGAAATGTCTCAACAACATCTGGATGGACTGTCATCAAATTTGGTCTCACACATTCATGTCCCGCCAGGGTGAATTAAAAACTGATCCATTAACTTTTCTATCTCGTGCCGTCATCAGGCCCCCTCAGCTGTACTTAGTGTTAATTAGCAAATGTTAGGATGCTAACAGTCTAACAGAACCTGCTAAATGATTTCTAACTGTTGAACTGTTTAACGACGGTTTATTATTCTCAGCATGCTAGCATTTAGCTCTAAGCACTACCACTAGTGAGTCTGCAGATTCCATTGGAGTGAACATTTTGTTGGATTTGTTAAAGGCACAGTCTTCGATGCAGAAGCATTTACAGTACACAGTAAACAGTTTATTTAGTGGCATAAATTTATTCAGACTTGAAATCTACCTGGACCTAAGAGAGATCAGTTCTTGAAACAAGGTGGGTTAGCTCTATTTTAAGACGGTGGAGCTTGTTTACGATAGAATAGTTTCCGGTTTACTGTTAACCACACCTGCTGCACAGGGCCAAGATTGACAGCTGCTACCACAGAGACCTGGTTTAATTCGTGGTTGCAGCAGTCACTTCACTGGCAGCTCCTACCTGCACAGAGGGGTGTGTAAAGGGGCAGTGTGTGTGTGTGTGTAAAGAAGCATATGAATGTCTTATTAACTTCTAAATTGGGCTGAATTAAAAACATTTCTGCACCTTTTACTATGTCTTGAATTTGTTTTCAAGTTCCTGTTTTTTAAACCTTTATTTAATCAGGAATCTGTCACTGAGATTAAACATGACACATCCTAACAGCTCCCAAAAACAACCCGAGAGCCGTCTCAACAATAATTTACTTAAACTAATCTGATATACGCCAAAACACTGGCAGCCAAAAGAGAGAGCACAGCTTCTGCATGAAGGGTTTGTTTTTAAACAGAGTCCATTTTAGCAATTTTAGATCTAATTACAGAAGGTTCCAGAAGGCTGCGTTCATCAAGTGTTTTTACTAGTTTTAATGTCAGATAGCTGTTTTATGCTCATTTCTAGAACCCTAATCAAGTCACCAAATATTTAAATTATAATTTATAATATAAATTTCATTTTCATTACACATTTTTTTGCTTGTTTGGAAATGAAGTAGGAGGATTCTGCAGTGTGTAATGTTTTCTGACGACCTGATCAACACTGTGGACGATCATTAATGGCTAAAATCTTACAAGTGAAGTGGCAGGGGTCAGGGGTCACATCCATATGACCTACCTGCTGTCTGCCGTCTACACTGACAGTATTCTTTAAGTCTTTCCAACATGGCACATTTCTAAGTGTCATATCATAATTAAGATGAGCTCGCCTTACAGTCTTTGTAGATGTTCTTCCAGGTCTTTGCGCACCAGTTGAACCCTGTCAGGCTTCGCTGCCATTCAACATTTATGTGCAATCATTACAATGTGTAATCATGACAATAATAATAATGGCAGTCACTCTCTTACTCTGTATGAAGCAAAAAACATTTTACGAGTTTGATACATAATGAAACAAATATGTGCGGGTCTGTTGAAATGACACTGCTGAGAATGTGATTGCTCCATCCTTTTGTCTTCGTCATGCTGAGTCAACTGTTTTAACTGCTGATGAACACCTTCGTTATGTTGAAATTTCTGTATAAGTCTGGAAACACGTCATACTTACACACTGGTGTTTGTATGACGAGTTATTTGTTGTAGGACAAGTAGTCTGAATCTAAACCTAAAACAGTGGATTGAGTGCTGGTTTTTATATATTTATATTATTTATCTGGTATCTGAACAGTGTTAGGATCCAGATGTGTCTCTGTTGTGAGTATTTCATTAGACATCAAACATGATTGATTAAACATGAATGATATCTGATCTCTAATTCCAGTAAGTCATTTCCTCTGTGTTGACTCATCTGACCACACAATGAATCTCATCACACTGGTGTTTTTTTTAAGTGACAGGATAGTTAAAGGTCTCCAAAACTCTCACACCTCCACATGGATCAATCAAGTCATAAAACATATTACAAATATTTCAACAGACAAATTCAAGGCTCAAATTTTTATCTTTATAACCAGAGATTTTCTTTTGTTGTTGACATATCTGACTGTCAATCGTGTGCCAACCTTCTCTGGAAGTTCTCCCAATGAAAGCTGTTGACAGTGAGGTGTGTGGATTACTCTGAGTAACTGGGGCCACAAATCAAATTCATTCCCTTCACCTTCATCGCAGTGGGCTTGTGGCAGAAAAAAAATTATGCAAATAAAACCAGAACTCTTTTTCATGCCTCAACACCACCGGAGATAAGTGAGAAATTTTATTAACTTTATTTTTGCAATAAACAACGCCATACTGTTATCAACTGAACGATGAACTTACGTCACAGAGTGCAGCGAATGAGTCACTGATGTTCCTCACGGGGTGGTAGGTGAAGGTGATGAAAGGGAAGTCAGTGGCAAAGGGGTTCCACCTGGAGATGAAGGAGGGCTCTCTCAGCCGGTCCCAGAAGACTCGCAACCCCTCCCCTTCTCTCCTAAACACATCAAGACACAGAGGAGATGACAAAGTGTCTCACACTGACAGTGACACATTTGACTCAACCATGTGATCAAACTTCAGTTCATGCTGGCATCACATCAACAACATTACTCACTGCTTTCTACAAAAAAGCTCATGATTTGTTTTCCACTGAGAATCATGTACAAAGTGCTGAATATAGATGTTTTGTTTGACTCAGGTCGCATCGTATAGGTTGTTTAAGTGACAGTTATGGGGCATGTACTTGTTTTTGCCGATAGCTTTTATCCAAGCCATCGTGTAGAAGAAATAATGCAGCTAAGGCGCTGCAGTATAACAGCTAAAAAAACCATACTGCAGCCAAAGCAAGAGCTAACAAGTTAAAGCTAACTGGGAAAACTAGCTTAAAAATATAAACTTTAATTTAATTTAACTAAGATCTTGTTAATTTAGTTTATTATGGCATAAATAATTGAGATAGTAGTTAAATTGATTCATTATGGGGGTAACAAAAAACAAAACAAAACCCTAAACAACTCTACTAAAAAGTAACTAGCCTAGCTTAGTAGCGTAGCATTAACGTTTGTCAGATAGAAAAGTAGCTAAATATTCTGCCCTGTAGTGTGTTAGCGTTGTGAAAGAAATGCTAAGCTAAACTACCAAATAAAAATATGACCTGATTGACGTTAGGCCACACAAAGTGCAGTTGATGTTCGCCTGTTGGAGAAGCTAACATGCTACACCCACTAAATGGCAACTAGCCTAGCTTAGTAAAGTTGCAGCTGCCATTGCCGCAAAGAAATCTTCCAATTCGGTGGGGGTCAAGCCACTTTTAAACTATAAACTGTATTTAAGAGTATTCAACTGTAAATAAATATATTTCAATATTAATTGTCAATATTAATTCACATTACATTTAATCCTTATAACTATCTTGATTAACTTCACATTTTTATTGTAAACCTTTTATTGTGAAATGTTTCTATTTATATTTAACTGACTTGCAGTACTTGCTCTACTTAATCTTTCCTTCAATTTTTTCTCTTTACTCTGTTTATTGTTATGCACCAAAACACCAAAGCAAATTCCTCATTAGTGAAAACTGGCAAGTTTATGTTTTTAAAGGAGTTCAAATGGACTAGAAATCTGAAGGAACACGTTCTGTTTCTAATGTTTTTCCCTTGTATTTTTTGCCTAGAAAGCACAAAATAAAAGGAACTTTATTTTTTCTATCCATTGTGCAGTGCGCCATCCAGTCTGAAAACCAAAAACCCTTCTTTCTCAATTTCACAGTTTCAGTAATTATCACTTTTAAGTACCATACAGTAATATATATATATATATATATATATATGTCACTTGTGTGCACAGATAGAAATGCCTCCTGATATGAAGTTAGTACCCCTTCATGTATCATTATATTTCTTCCATGATATTAACATCAGTTCACATTATTTCCCTGAAGGGGGACTACCAGGCCTGTTGGCTCCGTGATACAACGTTAGAAAAATGAAAAAATGGCACTAATCTGTCCTCAGGGCAATCTGATGTTTACCAGGCTCAGAGGTAATCTACAGTGTGTTCATCATGTTCCTTTTCTTTCTGCTGTTCTTTCATTTTAAAGTAAATACTGTGGGGTTTTAATGAAAATGCCCTGGGGTCATATCTTTTCTCAGCCTAATGAAACCTCAGAAGACTGACAGCAAACAGACCTACAAACACTTGCGGATCTCATCTTTGAAATGATGTTGGTGTTGATCTACATGCTGTGAAGATCTTTACAATTCTCTGTCTCTCATACCTCTTAAGACTGTCATATCTGCGAGGAATAGAGAATCTTCATTACTGTTCAAAAGGTCACAGAGAGTTCAAAACACCCTTATTTGCATTTCCTTTTAGGGTAAATCTTCCTCAAGAGTATTCAAACAGACCTGAGACCAAATGTATCAGAGAAAATAGAAATAGACAGCGAAAACATCAGACAAATATCAACACCATGTCTAACTATCACATAAACCATGTAAAAAAGTTTTAGGTGCAGAGTATTCTAGTCATGACATACAAAAACAAAACCTTTTCCTTCAGTGCTTCTTCTGATGAACAGGACCATATAAATAAATAAACAGGTACCTCAGTACTGATCGTACAATTACAATACAACCATGCTGATGCTGAGCAGGTATAATGTTTAACATCTTAGTTTAGCGTGTTAGAATGCCAACATTTGCTCATTTGCATTAAACACAAAGTACATATGAGGTCGATGTGAATGTCATTACTTCTGCAGGTATAAAGCAAAAATACTGGACAAATAAAATAACTGAACAAAACAAAACAAAAGTGAAGGCTATTTTTCACAGTCTTCTTTTGTCCAAAAAATGATTTGATTAATAAATAAAGATAAACTGGCAGGCTAATCGATAAAGAAAAAAATGTTAGCTGCAGGCCTAAACTTTCTATACAAAGATCTTTTCTCACCATTGGTTGTTGTGCTGAAGATTCACTAACTATATAAAAATGATGTGTTCATTATTAATGTGTGAGGACAAGCTTTTGGTCAGGGACCTTCTTCAATCATCAGTGCAACCTAAAAAATGTGTGACCTAATGCTAAATCACGATGTCTTCCATTAAAAATAAAAGGAGTAGTTTGGATTACAATCAAAACCTCTGCTCTGTGTGAATTTAGGATGAGTTTAACAAAACTTTCATGGTGGAGTTCAGGCATTTTCAGCTACATTTCCATGCCTTGCTGTTTGATCATCACCTGTTTAACAAAGCACATAAACAACTGCTGAATCAACCCTTCAAAACAGTAGCTTGGAAAAACCTGCAGTGGCAGGTTTGGCTCCTCAATCCGATGCATTTGCATAAAAAATGTAACGATAAAGATGGTAAGATAAATAAATCAGGATGCAGGCGATTTCCCAACAGTGTTCTGATCTTTAATGATCTGTCATGCTGATGTGCTCATTTTTACCACAAACCTTGTGCAACAGCACTTCCTGCCAACCAGAATTAAACACCTGAGGCTAAACAATACTGGTGCAGCTATTGATATGTCACTGTCCTAGGGAGGGGCTGCATCATAATGCAATCATCTCGCCCTGTTTACACAAGCATTTTCAAAATGACAAAGCTGCTGCTGAACATTTTGTGCCTCTTCCAGAACAAATGTTGTGCATGGAGAAAGGGAAAAAAAAAAAAAAAAAAAAAACGTGGTACAAAAGCAAAGCCCAGGCTAAAAGACTGATTATATTTCAGCAAAAGCGAGTGAGGATGGTGGGGTTACGTTTGTACACACTGCCCTTTGTAAGAGCACACAGCTATTGCCCTAGTATAAATGAGGATATAAAAAAGGCTTTGGCAAATTCCACAGGTAAGCTATCACTGGGAGCGGGACCAGCCCAAACAGGCAGAGCAGGGCTGGGCTTTCCAGCCAGAGGCCTTGAATGTCTTCACTGAGTTTATGTGGCCGAGCTGGGGGTTGCACTTTCACTGCGCCTCACTTCGACAGAGTCACAAAAATACAGAAACAGTGAAAGCAGGCTGCACCCGAGTTATGTCATTGAGACGTTTGACAGCGTGTGTGTGTGTGTCAAAAGAAATAAAAAAAAGAAATAAAAACATTTCAAGAATGAGGCTAAACTGAGGGTATCCAGCCTCTAATGATCTTTCCTGGTGGAGATTCACCTAATCCACAGTGTTTATACAAAACACACACACATGCGTAAGAGAAACACTGTATTCTGAGCTTAGGGGCAAGTGACGAAAAATTCCTCCCTGGGCCTTCAAGCGCTTCAGACTCGAAAGTCAACACACAAGATAAATATCAAGCCCAGCTCCAGTTGTCATGGCAAGTGTCCCACATTGTCTCAGAGCGAACAAACAAATCTGCTCCGATTGCTCAATAGAGCCTGCAGGTTTGTCAGCCATCCATACATGTATCCGTCCAACACGGTTTCATTAAAAATATGAAAGGACTAAAAAAAAAAAAAAAAAGAAAAAGAAAAAAGAAAAAAGAAAAGAGAGTGAAGCGTTGGCTTTAAAAAAAAAAGAAAAGTAAAAGACAAAGATTTGACTTTACCTGTTATACACAGTTTTTCTCTAATATTCCAGCTCAAAAAGATATTTACATTATTCATGATAAAGCTGCTCATGGAGCCTCAGAAGCCGAAAACAAACAGCCACGTTACTGTAAATGTCATGATGCAAAAGCTGTGATATCATAGCTGCAGGCTGCTGAGATATTTCCACCTTGAAAAAGCAGCGTCCACAATCTGAAAGCTGCTCCCGAGGTGTATGAATTTACAGCAGCGTGCCCGAAACGTTATGAATCTACTGGTGTTTATTAATTTATACTGTATGTCCTGGGAGCAGCCTGTGTGCAGACTCTGCTCTTGATCTATGCTTTGTTTTGGAGATGTGAGAGTTTTCTTTTTTATCCTGCTTGGTTTTAGGATTCATGCTACAGGTAGAACAGCGATATTTGGCAATACAATGTTCTGGTTATATAAAGACTTTATTTACAGGAGTTTGATTTGCAGAGAGAACATTTTAATCCACTTTACTTTTTCTTTTCTTTTCTTTTCTTTTCTCTCACAACAATCCTGCATCTTTTTCAGTGAATGTTTTTGTTGAATTGCTCTAATTGTCAAGACAGATTATATCCTGTAAATTTGGTTGAGATCGACTACTCTTCGCTCATGCGGTCAAAAAAACGTGCACTCAGGGTGGAAAACTTTTTTTTTCTGTAGGTGTGATTCATCACCGCAAAAAGACAGATAGACAAAACAATCCCTACGTTAGGCCACTTCAAATCTTTTCCTTTTCTTTTGCATAGATGTTGTGACTCTCCTGTTTATGAAACTGCAGCTAAAGTCAAAATTACTGTGAATCATCTAAGAAAGCTCCTCATCCATTAACATATACTCTGCTACATATAGACTGTGCAATGCCAGTCCCCAGTGTCAAAATGCCAAGGAGGCCTATTTGCGGTTTGTTGTTTATTTAGATC